ACCGAAGGGGGCGGCTCGAATACACTCGGGTCTCCCCGATCATTCATAATCATTCAAGAAATTCATCACGTGTCACCAGCGTCACGTGACTTCCGCTGTCGTAACAATATACTAAGTTGCTATCACTAATACAATTATTTAATTAATTAATCACCTAACATAGTGCATTTTCTGTATTATTTGTTTCTTATGCCTCAATTGAAAATTTCAAAAACTTATTGAACCTATAATTTTATGAATATTTTTAAAATTACTTTTTAAAACATTTTCGATATAACTGGCAATAAAGCAGTTGGTCTTTAATTATTTAGGTCAGACTCCCTACTTCCTTCATATGCATTTAACTTAAAGCTATATAACTTTTGGTATTATATTACATCTGATTGATCTAAATTTAAGCAGTTACGGCAATTCATAATTTCCTATGCACTACATATCAAACATGCATTACAATAATGTAGATATAATTGGGGCTGTTGAATATTTAATATACTAAATAAGTATATATTTAATATATTATATTTAATATTTCTATTGCCTACTCAAATACTTTTAAATTTCGTTTAATTTTGTGGTTTTCTCCTAGTAACCTAATTAATCATATTATTTTTAAAATTAGTTTTTGTTTGTTTTATGAGAATGCTTGAATAATTTCTATCGTTTTAAATTCTAACGTATTGATAGTTGGTAGTGTATTTGCAATACCGCACGCTAGTAATATAATATGCTAGTTTTCAGTTATAAAATTACAACTCAATAGTAAATTATTCAGTGATTTTTAGTAGAAAATAGAAAAATAGGATTGAAATAACTATTATATTTAAATCGTACTGAAAATCAGTTTCAGTTTCAAAAAATATTTTCTAAAAATGTTCATAATTAAACTTTTGAAAATGAATAGGATGCTCGAAACAATTTATTTTAATTCAAAATTGTATCCTTTTTAACTTAAAAGTTTCAGCTATAACAGTACTGTAATACCTCTTGTGATTGTGCTGTAATGTTCATGAACTTAAAAAAAAGAGAGATGCCTATATTAGATCTAATGTTCTTATTGGGTTATGTAATTTTGCTATTTCGGTCTTGTTTATACATCGCAGCTCAATTACGTGCATGTGACTACTTTAAATGTAATGAGAATATAAGACTAGGCCTAACTGTTTTAGTACGAATGAATAGGAAGGTTTTTAATGTAAAGCTCTTAAATTAAACAATTAAAATAAAAAAGACATAATTAAGAATATCTTATGAATTACCAACAATGGTCATGAGTCTCTTGTGTATGTAGTTTCTGTGACTTGTGAAGTACTAACATGTGTTCTGAGTTTTTGTCAGTCACTAATATTTTCTCGGAGTCACTTGCAACTAATATACTCTTAATAATTGCTGTGTTGCTCGTGAGGCAATAACGTGTACTATAAATTGCTCATGATTCATTAGGCATTACTCCAGCATACCAATACTGGGGGTATAAAAATGACTCATATTGTTTTATTCATTTGATGTTGTTAATTGCAGAACTTCCTATTAATAGAGTTTGCATGAAATGCTTTCGTCGAAGCTTTAATTGGAAAGCCACGAAAATGCTACACATCAAATGAAATTGAAGGAAAGACATCCATTGAGGATGAAATTCAGGGTAAAAACAGATCCAATAAAAAAACTGCATTGTGAGAACAATGATTCTAGTGAAACATTTCTGAAAATGGTGATACTACTAATGATGAGTGTTAATATTGTTACGTCTCTGGTCGTTTGTTAATTTCCGGTATAAGTTCTTCCCGAGGAACTTCAGCGATACAAGTCCTTTCTTTAAATAAAACTAGTTTATTCTTTCTCAGTACAACTTTACAATACACAGAATTTGCACAGTCACTTTAACTCAAACACACGCTATAATTCACAACGATACACACAATTTACTTACAGTCACTACCGCTCGCTTGACTCAATTATCTATCTCTATATCTGTCTATCTGCAATTATATCTCCGCTTTCTTTGTCGGGCTTATATACTAAAATAGAGGGCGCCTAGAAAAGACTAGAGTTGCCAGGAACAGTCATGATCCTTCTAGAAACTCCAGCGCGGATGGTTCCAGCGTCACATGACTTCCGCTGTCGTAACAATATATAGAATAAAAAATGGCTCTAATGATGTATTTAAGTAAACTTTATAAAGAAAGAGTACAGGGCTGAGTTATGTTATATCAAAACGATTTTGAATATGCAAATTAGCAAGTCCCATGACAAACAGAGCCGATATAAAGTCGCGGTGCAACTAAATGTATCAGAACTACATTTTGAAATTGTTTGATGTTCATAGGTAGTGTGATGCCACCGACAATTGATCGCTTTTGCAAAGGATATGCAACAGCTCTTTCTGACATACAGTATTGATACGTTCAGGTCATAAAGATGTGTTCAGATTGTTGACTTATAATTTTCAAAATAGTGATATCTCTTGTACTTAATGGCTTTAGAAAACAAAGGACGGTAGATCAAATTGGGATGCCATAACCATCCAAAAAGAGACCTGCAACAAGCAGTGATAAGCAAAGTGCAGTGTCTTGTAATAGGTGAGAATCTACAAACATAAAAATCAGTGGCAAAAGCCGTCCCTGTGTTCCAAGCAACTTTGGGCAGCATAATCAAGAAAGATCGTCTGGAAATGAAGCAAATCAGTCATACCTCCTGTTCAACCATTGCATACCTCAAGCAAATGGAGAAATTGACAGGTCTTCATGCCATTCCATATGAAGACTCATCATTCAAGTTGCCAGATGCAGTGCCTCTGGATTTATGTGCAATTAGACTGTTGAATAGAATTGGGGAATTATCATTGTCATACAGTAGATGGCTTATGGAAATCAATCAAGGAGGAATAGTGTGCTTTGAATATCACAGCTTCAAGAGGAAGCTTTTTGCTGCAGATCTATTGTTAAGATTGACGACATTAGATTGAGCATGGCCGTAAAAGGTAACTTAGATTGTAACGACGTGGTAAGGCTCCCAAATCATTTTAATATAGTGTACTCAAGTTCCAAAAAGATAAAAGATATTCCATAGTTTAACATTCGTTTACAAGCAATAACAGATGGATGACATTGAAATACAAGCAATATATGAAATTAATAAGCTATCACCTGAAGAATATGCCTTAAAGGATGCTAAACAAATCTTATATAACAAACTTCTATGAAATATAAGAAATAACGTTCAAGAAAAGTATCTGAAAAAAATTAATAATCTATGACCAAAACAGGCGTGTCCCACATTCACAAATGTATCACAATAACTAAACGAAAATTAACGGGCGAATTGATTATGATAAGTTAGAAGTTATCGAAACTGTTGTGAGTAAAATAAAACATTAATTTAGTCGACTACTTGATTGAAAATTGGACTAGTGTAAAAACAAAAAGATTAAATGTGTATGGGATGAAATAAGCCTCATAAAACCAATTACTAGTTAGTTGTTTTTTTTCTGGATTTTGGTGATCACCGTCTACCAAAGTACCTCAACCTTTGAATGTGCATTAGCGTTCACTGTGCCCGTGGAAGAATTGGTAGCTTATAATGAAAAATCCTTTGTATTATTTTGCCGAGAGCATTTTATATATCATTGGTATTGAACGCACTAATTTGTAAAAATAAAAATTACAATATTAACATTATTGTTACAAATTTGTAGACTGGTGTAAATTACATTCTCTTATAATCTCTTTGTTACTAATAATTACAACAATATAAAACAGTGAAAACGTAAAGGGTTTTTTATGTGTTTTAAAATATCCTTCACATATCGAAATTTTGTCTAATACATTTTTATTGGTAATGCAAACCACATACCGAATAAATTGTATATGTGGATATAACTGCAGAACGAATATGAAAAACTGTTGAAGTACGAGCCAACATAAGTTTTTAAGCTTATGAAAAATGACGATTTACTAGCTAGTAAAAGCAGGTTATATATACTGTTTTTTAGGTCTGACAAGCAGAACTCTTATCTCCAGCGGGGTGTGTCGTTCGACTCCTCGAACCCCCCAGCCTACGCCATTTCCAAATGTTTGTTTGTATTTAAGCACTTTGTTATTGTATTTCACCGCCATCTAAAGACAACTGTTAAACTGCATGATCATTGTTTTCTTTTAGTTCTGATCATGATCAATTAACAATGTTACATGAAACTAAGTGAATACATTTTCTTATTATTTCGGACACTATAGTAGTTTTCTCAAACGTTAAAAAGGCATAGTTTAATATTATGTTGAGATCTGTGTGACACAGAATTTCGAGTTTTCAGTGGACTGTTTTTGAAAACTGATTACGACAGCTTTGAAATATTTTTAAAACCTTAGTTTTAATAACATGTGAAACGTGTTATCACTTTGGCGAATATAGAAAATTACTCTTGTAGAAGACTAGTTCTCACTTTAAAGTTCCCCCAGTGGTACAGCAGTATGTCTGCGGACTTCCAACGCTAGAATCCGGGTTTCGATACCCGTGTTGGGCAGAGCACAGATAGCCCATTGTGTAGTTTTGTGATTAATTGCAAACAAACTCACTTTAAATATTGAAATAGTAATAATAAACATTCATTTTATAAAACTAAGGTTTGTATTTGACCATTGATTTTTCCACTTAGAATGATTTTTCGAACAGTTTAGTAAAATATAGACATCTTGATTTGTGTCAAGCGCTTGAATGTTTACATTTCTTCTATCATGCAGTATACATATTGTCTCACGGATGGTATTAATTAGTAAAACAAAGCATTTATTTACATCTTTATGTTTTATTGTGACAGTTTTTTGTCGAGATGATGACGATTAAATTGGTCTGCACTAATATAATACTTAGATATCAAAATTTTTTTCTTCTCTCTTTGAAGTGTTTTTAACAGGTTTGCTGAGATTATTAATACTTAGGCTTTGGTCTTCACTAGCATCAAGATGTAACAAATCATTTATGTGACTTTTAATTATGCCCTATAATAGGTTATTAAAGAAGGTGACGACTATCTAGGTCTTGGTCTTCAAAATGGGTACCTAAAGATGGTGTGGAACCTTGGGTGGTTTTCTCGAAATGAACTGTTGATTACAAACATGTCTCTATCTGACGGTAGGCGGCATCACGTGGAGATATACAGGTATTGATTAACAGCACTGCACTTCTTCTAGATTATTTTAATCTGTGTATCGCAATATTTTCCAATATTTTCTTTATATTTCTGCATAATAGTTACGCATATGAATGTAATGTATAATCATTAATATTCCACTTTTGTAAAATCTGTCACATATTGTTTTTAATGTTGTTTTTAAGATACATTTATTGAGTTGAAAATATGTCAAAATTACATGCGTAAAACTAGAGCATTTCTGAAGTTATGAAAATATACATATGAGACTTAGATATTTTACTTTATATACATCTATCATACAGAAAATTCACAGAAACGCTTACCGGTAAAAAATCGTAAGTAAGAATATAATCATCTATATACACAAAACTTTATATTAAGATCATGTTACGTATTATGAATGTTGAAATAATCCGAAGCCGATATTTTATTTAATTTACGCTATTTGCCAACAAGATTAACACACACCGTCTTAGTTTTTCACACAAATGCGTTTTAATATATATATACAACAGTACAATTTACAACAACAATTATTACTAATAGTTATCACAAGCAAAGACTTATAAACAAAAATTTCGCTAGCTTACAAAAACAAAAAATCTTCTTTCTAGTTCAGAGTCTCCTTGATATCCAGCGAGTTAACTTGAAGTCGATGTACGT